CTTCACATCTAGATATCGATCGAGGGTGGATATCAACATCAAATCATCCTTCACAAAGCAGACAGCCTCATCGCGATATGCAGTTGAATATGCCTCAAAAAAGTCCTCCAAACCTGACAAGATATCCGGTGTGATCTTTGGCTTTACACCCCATGTTGAACGAGGACTTCTAGCAGTTCCAAAGCAGCGAATATTTCGTTGGATTCGATATACAGTGGCCAGACTGCACTCAATGGTCCGCGCAATCTGAGCAGGCATATAACCATCATTTAGAAGGCGTACGATCTCATTGGTGGTAAATTCGCTGAGCTGGGGGGGCATATTGGCAGATTTGATGATAAAGGTGCGTATTTGAATGAATTGGATGATATTTGAATGATTTTAGAGATACGTGGATATTTTGGTTATTTCTGCGGTGTTTTGCTACTATTTTTCAGGGGGTGGCAGAAAATTCTGTTTTCGCAAGCTTTACGTCCGCCACAATATTATTATAGTCGTTGTTTTCTATTGATGCGAGCCATTTTTTGCCATTACGAAGCGGCGAGACGAAGAAATAAAATTCATATTTTTCACCTGATATTCTGTTTCCTGAAGAAAACACGTTACGCCTTTATAAAAACGGATGTCATTGCAGGATGGGTGTTTTACCTTAACTCTTCCAACATGCATTTTCTACTACAACTTTTTCACAACCCCTTTTGCATCCGGTCCACCCCTGAGCCATTTGCCCCGATACTGTTGGAACCGTTACCAAAATTATGACGTGGGGTGTTAAGGGCTATCTAGCACTTACTTCTCTCACTCTGTAAATGTGTATTATATCTTGCTCAGCGCCCGCGAGAGCTAGCTTTTTCCGCTTTAGAAATAAGATAATTTAACTAATGTTCACCAAGCTTCCCCGCAAACTAGTCTGCCAAGCGAGCTTATCCAATTTACAGTCCACCTGTTGATATTTCGCACAGTCTCAGTATCGAAAGAATAAAAGAGCAATATGTCCTACGGAAGGGCCTTTTGACATAAATCTTGGCTCGGCAGAAAGAGAGCAAGGAAGGCAAAAATCTAGGCCCGGAACTCAAGATAGTTTACCATGGGCTAATTTGTCGATTATACGAACAATCATCCTCAACAGCAACTTACCCCGGAGCGCATCCACTATGTCGGAGGTGACGACAGCACTTGAACTCC